TGCGGCGATCACCTGCAAGATCTGTGGCCAGGAAGACCCCTTGACGTTTGTATCTGATGGAGGGTGCTGGCGGCTGACTCCAGAGCCACAGGGGAGGGCCAGGAGCTGCGCGGCCTGGCACCGCGTGCCCCTTCTCAGGGGAGCATCAGTGACAGGAGAATGGGCCCTCGTGGCCAAGCAGACAGACCGCCCAGCGTGGACCGCGCCGAAGCATCCCCGCTCGCACCTTGGCGCCGGGGACGCGGGTGGGCAGGGCTCCTCTCTGCCGCCCCCAGTGCCATTTCTTAGATCTGCTGACAGACTTGCAGGCGCCAGAGAGCCCGGCCCCGACTTACAAGCCCCGCAGAGCGCGCCTCCCGCCCCGAGCCGGAGTGACAGCCGACCGCTCTCGCTCCCGGGCCGGGCGGGGCGGCTCCAGCAGCGCCACACCGCCACCTCGCGGCCGATGCGGGGCCGCGCAGGCCTGATGATCCCCCCGTAATCAGGTTTCAGTGATATTCTAGGACACCGTGAGTCCCCGGGAAGCGATTCCACTCTGGAGGCCTGAGGGAGAGTCGCCTGGGGCAAGTTTTCCTGCGCACAGTTTGGTTATGAACCGCTTCTGGGAATCAGGAGCGGCCCCCAAACAGCTTGGCATTGGCAGGAAGAAGGAATCCTTTGGAACTCCTCACCAGGCGTGGGGGATCGCCCGCCTCTCGCCCCCCTACCCCGCCTTCCAATCCATCACGGCTGCCCAGCCTTGCTCAGCCACCCAACAGAGCTGGGGAGGGTTAGAACACCAACTGTGGGTAACCCTGTCTACCCCTCTTTAAAAGGGAATAGTTTACTAATACCCAAGTAATCCATAAATACAGCCATTAAAAAATAAACGCAATGTGAGAAAAAGCTTAGGCGTAGACTGGGTGGTACCATTCATTGCTAATGAAGTCGGCCCTTGGGCCTACTATTCAAGGCCAGTACCTAATCCCAGCAGATTCTGGGCTGAGCCTGGGGAGGGAGAAGCAGTGTAGGCTGGACTTTACTAACAATACTTTACATTTTTACTCCATGAAACAAGTGACCTCAAAGTACCTACTTAGATACCAGTGCAGTGGGAGAGGGAGGGACGCACACACGTCCCTACATTGACTTGGATGCGGCTAAAACAGGACACGACTAGGCAGATAGCAGCCGCTTGCTGGCTGTGGGGCAGGAGCCCCAACACCCAGGCCTGCCCTCAGCCGGTGCAGAAGGGTGGTCCCAGCTCAGCACTGCGGGCATCCCACCTGGGCTTGGCGCTGGCGCTGGTGGAAACCTGCAGCCTTGGTGAGCCAGGCAAATCAGCCTTCCAGGCTCCTGAGCACATCCTCCTACCAGGCGGAGGGGCCAGAGAACAGAGCTTGGCACTTGGAAACCCCATGTCGTGTTTTTGTATTAATAGGTTTGAGAGAAGCAGACAGACTGGTTTTTGCAAACATATTTAGGAAACTTAAGTGAATTAACTCCCCTTAACCAGGACAGGTTACTAGCCTTTGGTGGGGTTTTATTTTGTTTTGTTTGAAGCATTTGACCCAAACTCTCAAGTGGTAGGAGGCTGGCTCTTGATGGTCATGATTGAAATGACAGGTCATTGCTTGATGCCTGTGCACTGACGCAGCACGATGCAGCAATGGCCTTGAGAGCAACCTTCAACTCCCGACAGCAGGTTCCTACCTGAGCCTAAAAGCCTCCATCACTTCCTCTCTTCTGAGATGATCTGAGTCTCCCACGCAGGCAAAGCAGGCCTGAACAAGGGTTCCTGGCACAGAGGAGGTGACAGGGTGAGCTGCCTTCAAAAGCGTCTGGGCCCTGCTGGCAATTTGCTGGGGGAGAGGACGCAAGGCTCCCAAAAGGTGGGACACCTGCTTTAACCTTAGGCGAGTCACTGGTCTGCTGCTGTGTCCCTCACACGTAGGGGGAAGGACACAGAGGGTGGTTATTATAAAACAGGAGGACACAAGATACCCCAAAAGAAGCTAAAAGGTTGGGAGGAGCTGACAAGTAAGACATTAATAAACAGGTAGCTGCCATCAATAATCTGGAAGCATGGGTGATTCAGAGGGGACACTAATGTTCCTGGAAGTGACTGGAGGTGACTTACCACCTGTGAAAAGTCTCTTGTTCAGCAGTTGCTCAGGTGGGCAGACTGCTGAAGTCTCCCTAAAACAGCGGCCACTTCCGTACACCCTGCAAAACCACCCCAGGGAACCAGCCCACCCAGGAGTCTCCTTGCAACCCCAAGCAGAGGCAGGTGCCTGTGGGACATGCCAGGGTCAGGCTGGCCAAACCAGTGACACCCCAACCTGAAGCTGGGGTTGGAGGGCACCGGAGTCCTGGCTGCACTCTGGGTGTGATAGAGCTATCCATGGTCCTGCTTCCCCTTGTGGGAGTGAGAAGGCTCATGATAAGGAACTGCTGTGACCACAGACGCCACCCCGGAGATCCAGTCCCAGGAAACCCCTGGGAAAGCTCTGTGACAAGCCACACTTGAGCTGTTTGACAGGACTTAGGGCAGGCCAAGCCCTCTTTGGGGAAGAAATGGACACCTGTCAAGGTCTGAATTTGAAATCCATGGTGCAGGGATTGTATTCGATCTTTTGTGTCCTTTCTCCAACTGACTCTAGCCCACACCAGCCTAGTTGTGATGGCCTTGAAGGGCAGAGCCATCCAGCTCCCCGAAGTCCAGCGTGGGGCCTGCTGAACATCTGGGCTGGAAATGTGAGGGTGGGGATGCACTGCCTCAGAAAGAAGGGGTCCTGAGACTCAGTGACAATCGGCTGACCCTGACACACACAGCAAAGGGACCCAGCCCATAAAACACCTCCCTGGCCCATCTGCCTCACATCCCCAGCCTGCATTTCCTGAAGGCTGAGAGGGCCTGGCCAACAATTACATCACGTGCATATCACAAAGATCCCTCAAGTTATTTTTAATATGCTTCAAACACAAATAAGCAACACAGAAAATGTAAGGGCTGGATAAAGACGGTGTGACCCCATTCAAATAATCACCAAGAGTGCCACCCGCCAGCCCCTTCCCAGCCCTGGCACCGGCCACAACCTCATCCCAGCCTGCGGTGGGGGCAGGGCACCAACTTGTCTCTCAAATGCCAGGAAGAGGCTGGTGAGGTTTGGTGGGTCTGAGGCCAGCAGGGAGGCTGCAGCATCTGAATGTGGAAACTGCTCCAGGCCGGGAGGTGGATGACAGGAAGACTTCCACGTTGACAGAGGGCCAAGTCCTAATGGTGTGTTAGGTCCACTTCCTAATGGGGGGTGGAGTATCGGGCACACAGTGGCCACTGCCCCATGTTTCAGGATAGGAGCAATACCGAATGGGTGTCCGTGATGAAGAAAGGAATCCAGGGCAATGTGGGAACTGGCTCAAGCATTGAAGGTCAGGGCTGGTTAGGGCGAAGCTCTAGTCCACCTAGTGAGGGATTACTTAGTCCTAACATCACTACCACTTCGACTTGAACAGGCTAACACCATACCACGTTCTAGAGTAACATTGGAATCTGTATTGCTGTGTAACTGCATTTGGCAGGTGCCCTTATGGAAGCAGTTGCTAATTCAGAGAGCTGAGCTACCCATGAACTTGCATCTGCAGGTGGTGCCTGCTAACAGGACGAGAGTTATGCATGAGTGAACATGACATGACCTACTCTACCGGAATGCCTGACTCAATATCACAGCATCATGCAGAGCCTCTAAAGGAAAAAAGAAATGTTTCTTCACTGGGTATCTACGGTGTATATCCCCCGGATGGGTAAAGACCCTTGGAGATTTGCTAGTAGTGAGATGCACCTGAGGCCAGGAAGCCCAAACTAGACCCACTCGAGGAACTCATGCCGGTGATGTGTGTGGGGCAGCCCATCCATTCCGTGGGCTGTTTCTTCCTTTGGACCGCGGAGCATCTCTGCATGAGCCTGCCTGCCTCAGGCATGGTCAAAGACAGCCCTGTGCTCAGGACAATTTCCAGGGGCCTTAAGGACAAAACTGTAGGGCCTTTGTCACAAACAGCAAACAAAGGCATCGTTATCATCAATATATCAACTGTTAAAACTACTTTCTTTTGTGGTCATGCTTCTAATCTTCCACAGAGCTACAGGAATCCTTTCGCATTCTAATTCTACTATGTCAGAGACAAATGCCAGTCCAGAAGCCAGGGGCCTTGGCTGGCTGTTTCATTAGGCCCCTCTGTTTGGAAGAACCTGCTGACCCTCCGATGGGACAACTGTCAGCTGTGGCGTTGCTTAATCACCCAGAAGAAAACGTACCTGGGCTTCCAGGAGGTCACATGTGATCTAGCACAGCTGGGAAGTGATTCCCCCAGATGGAAGAACTGCTCTTCTGGAAGCCCCTGCTAGAACTCCTGAGCCATCTCGATGTACCGTGATCCGGCTGAGTTATAGAACCAAACTGAAGGGGGGGTTGCCTATGAAATGGTGGCCTGAGGGTCATATTTTGGTGGGATGACCATTTACAGGATCGCATCAGAGCAAACCAAAGGGGATGCCCGCGTACACTTTCCTATGCTATGTAGTCAAAACCCAGACCCTACCAGCAGTTTTCCTTCTTAAGGATGGAGCACAAATGGCCTTGGCTAATTCCAAGGTCATCCTCACTCTCATTCTAGAAGGTCACGCTCTTCCATGTTTTCCTGGGTGCAGTAGCTTGACGATACATTCCAAGATGCCATTTAGGAAAAAAGCAAAACTTGTGTTTACAAGACTATAGATGATTCACTGTCATAAGGAACATCGGCAAAACTGCTGAACCCCTCAGGGTTTCCCACTACTATCCCTTATCCACTCCAGATAGGAGTACTAATAATTAAAACTTGTGAATGCAATAATAGTGACCTCACCTCATGTTGACTGCGAAGCTGATTGTCGCAAATGCAGTTACTGTTCACGAATCGCTGGTGTTTGTGTTCAGGAGGACCACTTGGTGGTAGGCTGAAAGGTGCTTCTTCTCTGTATCTTTTTTTTTTTTCCTTTTTTCTATTTTGGGTAGAAATATTCCCCGGGAAGCTAGATAGAAATGCATTTTCATTTCCCAATAATTCTTAGGCACAAGTTAGAAAACTGCTGACCTTCACCAAAATATGTCAGCACTTCATGTTATAAAAAATGCAATTCAGAACCGCTGCGTGTGTATATATGTATATCTAAATATACACACATATTGGTGCAGTACACAATGATTATTCAATGTATATTCAAAACTGAGCTATTTGTAACTAACCTGAAATTCTGCAGTTAAAGTTCATTGCCCAAGAACTGGAGTTTCTTTTTTTTCTTTCTTTTGGCTCTAACTACGGTCAAACGTTTGCACATCAGACACTACCATTTACACTTTCCTAGGTGCCAATACGAGGACAGTCTCACACGAGCATCATTAGACCGTCTAGGATGCAGCTATGCAGCTACTGAGCATGCGCGCAGGGCCGGGCCAGCCCCTGGTCCCTCCTCCCTGCAGGTGGAAGCACGCGGTGGGCCAGGCTGCGTGGTGACGTCATCTGGGCGTGGTGCTAAGTCTGGAGGGGGAGGAGGGCCCAGATGAGGAGCCGCGGTAAACGGGGGACGTAGGCGACAGTTTAACCGGGCTGGTTGGGTCCCCAGTTTGGAGCTTCCAAAGCAGCTCTTCGTTGGTTCGGCTCAATCTCTTTTTCTCCTGAGTTTCTTTCTCAACGTACTCCTGGAGGTTAGCATTTTCCTCCGACAGTTGTCTGCATGGGGAGAATAAGAAAGCACCAGGTAGCAATCACCCTGGCAGGCACAGAACTTGGGATTGGCAGGGTCGGTGCGTGCAGGGCAGAGGAGGCGGCAGACGCCTGCTGGAACAGGGGCAGGTCGGAACGAAGGGACCCCGAGTCTGGGGCCAAAGGATGGTTTCCGCTGTCCTGTCGCCTAGGACCCACAGAAGATGCGATGGGAGCGCAGGCGCGAGTCTCAGGGACGGCTCAGTCCGCGGGGGTGAAATACCTGCACATCTCGTTTTACTGAGCTCGCTTTGTTCACAAATAATGTGTTTTTTTTTTACAGCCTGAAGATTTGTTGCAACCCTACAGTGAGAACAAGTTCTGTCGGCACCATTTTTCCAACAGCATTTACTCACTTCGCCTCTCTGTGTCACATTTGCTGATTGTTGCAATATTGCATGCAGACTTTTTCATTATTTTATCTGTTGTGGTGATCTGTGATCTTCAATGTTATTGTTAGAATCATTTTGGGGCACCACGAGCCATGCCCATAGAAGACAGTGAACTTAACTGATGACTGTGTGCATTCTGACCGCCCCACTGGCCGCCATTCTCCCATCTCCCTCCGTCTCTCAGGGCCCCCCTGTTCCCTGAGACACAATAATAATGAAATGAGGCCAATTCAGAACCCTCCAGTAACCTCTGTCCAAAGGAAAACAAGAGGTGCACGTCTCTCACTTTTAATCAAAAGCTAGAAATGATTCAGCTCAGTGAGGAAGGCCTGTTGAAAGCTGAGTTAGGCCCAAAGCTGGGCCTGTTGTGCCAAACAGTTAACCAAGCTGTAAATGCACAGGGAAAGTTTGGGAAGGAAATTGAAAGTGCTACCCAGATGAACACACAACTGATATGGAGAAAGTTTAGATAGAAGATCAAACAATCCACAACATTCCCTTAAGCCAAAACCTGACCTAGAACAAAGCCCCTAACTTCAATTCTATGAAGGCTGAGAGAGGTGAAGAAGCTGCAGGAGAGAAATCTGAAGACAGCAGAGGTTGGTTCATGAGGCTTAAGGAAAGAAGCCGTCTCCATAACATCAAAGCATGATGGGAAGCAGCAGGTGCTGATGGAGAAGCGGCAGCAAGTCACCCAGAAGATCCAGCGAAGGTCATTCAGGAAGGGGGCCCCGCTGAGCAACAGATTTCCAGTGTAGATGAAACAACTTTCTTTCAGAAGAAGATGGCATGTAGGACCTTCACAACTAGAGAGAAGTCAATGCCTGGCTTCAAAGCATCAAAGACAGGTTGACTCTCTTGTTAGAGGCTAATGCACCCGGGGACTTGAAGGTGAAGCCAGTGCTCAATGATCATCCTGAAAATACCAGGGCCCTTGAGAATTATGCTAAATCTACTGTCTTCGCTCTGTGAGACAACAACTCCTACATGACAGCATCTCGGTTTACAATATGGTTTACTATTTCAGTCCACTGTTGAGAACTACAACTCACAAAAAAAGATGCGTTTCAAAAGAGTCCTCCTTGCCAATGTACCTGGTCTCCCAAGAGCTCTGATGGGATGGATAATGAGACGAATGTTGTCTTCACACCTGCTAACACACCATCAATTCTATAGGCCATGGATCAAAGAGTCATTTTGACTTTCAAGTCATATTGTTTAAGAAATACATTTTGTAAGACTATAGCTGCCACAGATAGTGATTCTTCTAAGGGATGGATCTGGGCAAAGTATGTTGAAAACCTCTGTAAAGGATTCACCATTCTAGATGCCATCAAGAATACTTGTGATTGATGGGAAGAGGTCAAAATATCAACATTAGCGGGATTTTGGAAGAAGTTGATTCCAGCCCTTGTTGATGATTTTGAAGAGGTCAAGGCTTTAGGAGAGGAAAGAACTGCAGGTGTGGTAGAAACAGCAAGAGAGCTAGAACCGGAAGTGGAGCCTGAAGATGGGACTGAATTGCTGCATCTCATGATCAAACTTGAACAGATTAGAGTTGCTTCTTAGGGATCAGCAAAGAAAGTAGTTTCTTGAAATGGCATCTACTCCTGGTGACGGTGCTGTGAAGACTGTTCAAATGACAGCAAAGGACTTAGAATATTATTTCAACTTGTTGATAAAGCAATGGCAGGTTTGAGAGGATGGACTCCAATTTTGTAAGAAATCCTAACTCAAATTTGAAAGAAATGTTATCAAACAGCATTACATGTTACAGAGAAACCATTTGTAAAAGGACGGGTCAATCAGTGTGGCAAACTTTGTTGTCTTATTTTAAGAAATGGCCACAGCCACTCCAGCCTTCAGCACCCAACACCCTGTTCGGTCAGCAGCCATCCACACACAGGCAAGACCCCACCAGCCAAGAGATCACAGCTCGTGGAGAGCTCAGATGATGGTTAGCATTTTTTAGCCATAAAGTACTTTTTAATGAAGGCGTGTACATTGTTTTTTTCAGACATAATGTTATTGCAGACTTCATAGACTACACTGTGGTGTAAACAACTTTTATATGCACTGGGAAGCCCAGAAAGTCCTTTGACTCACTTTGTTGAGGCATTTGCTTTATGGCGGTGCTCTGGAACTGATCCCCCGCCAAACCCTGCTTTACAGGAGAAGGGAGGTGCCTCCACACCCTTCCTTGGAAGCTGGGGCACCTCTCAGAGCAGGAGACCGAGATAAAAGGCGTCACTCAGGAGAGCTGCAGTTGGCCACACGCTTTGCTCGGGTCTGTTCCCTTGCTGCCGTGCTCAGCCCAGGGCCAGGCTGGCCCGGGACAAGAGCTCAGCAGCCAGGGGCCCTACCCAGGTCTGCGCTGCTCAGCTAGTAGAGCTCGGGGTCAGCTCACATGGTGGGCCTCTCTGCCTGGGAACGCCTGGCAGGTGGCCTGCTCCAGAACCCCTGGAAGTAAACCCCTTCATGTCCCAGCTGTGCTGGAGACCCTGCCACAGGCCTTTGGTCACCTCACTCATTCCCCCGAGGTGAGGCCTATTGATCCTTTGAGGCAGGATCCACGAACCAGTGTGCAGAAGACTCACAGCTCAGAGGAGCGAGGTCAGTTGGATACTGGGCCCAAAACAGAGCCCTCAAAGAAGCTCAAGAGCAAAGCCACTTTGTGGGGGACGTATACTTTGTGAGCTCCAACCCCGCCCCCGGCCTGCCTACCTCGTGACCACGGTGTTCTGGTCGATCCTGGCTCTGAGGTCTTCATTCTGCTGCTGGAGAACTTGGATCTTTTCTTCCAGGATAATGTTCTTTTCTGCCTATAAAGGATGTGGAATTATGAGGCTCTCGGCAAGGCCTTCAGATAGGAGGCCAGTGCCCTTGGCTTCTGGCCTTTGGCGGATTATGAACAGCGTTTGCAAACAGCAGCTTGCAATGCATTAGTGAGGTGTGAAGTCGGTGAGAGGGACATGAGCAGCATTTCTTTTGTGAACAAAATAAAACCGAAATGACCAGAGTATATGTATGTAGTCAAAGTAAGTACTGTTACATGCATTTTAGGTACATATTTTTCCTTTACACGTATCATGCATCTGTGGGTATGTATATATCCGGTTCCTGCAGAGAATATTATCTCTTACAGTGAGCGTCCCCTTGCAATTATCAGAGATAAGCCGTGAACCCCATCAGGACCTGGTTTGGCTAATGGGTCCCCTGGTTCTTCCCAACAGGTCAACTGTGCTGCACTGCCATCCCTAGCCGGGTGTCATAAGGCATGCTGCACCCTATGACATGCTGTATCAATAGAGGGACGAAAATGTAAGTTATGTGGACATTTTTTCTTTCTGAGGCTATGGGCAGTCCAGAACCAAAAGCCCAAATGCGCTTGGTACATTATCAGAAAATAGTATCACTGGTGGTTGTTACTCTCCAGCACTTTTAATGCTTTTCTCTCTGTCAGCCTGCCCCCAGGCCCGAGACCCAGCTGAACTACAGTTCTGTTCTCAGATAACTGATTTTAGAAATAAATTCTTTTCTTGAAAGGAATGTGACAAATTCACTGTGCGGACTTTAAATCTTTAAAGAAAACTGTCCCTGCTGCATGAAGAAGGCTCTGGAATCAAAGCCCAAGGACTGGTCTCTGTCCCTGCTCTTCACCAAGGCTCTTCAACCAGCCTTCACCTTTGCTCCCAGGAAATGGGAAGTGATTGAATCAGTTCTTTTTTTTTTTTTTTGCCTGGAAAGCTTTCTGGAATGAGAAGTCATACATGCCTGCAGAATGCCTGCAACATGATAGCAACAGCCAAATAAGCCCTGAGGCTGTGGGTGACTGGACAACTGACTGTGGGTGGGCCAGCCTGGAGGAGGAGGGTCACCAGGCCCTGGGGTGGCCGGGTGGCATGACAGGGCGAGGAGGAGCAGGGCTCTGTCGGTGAGACCCCAGGGCCTTCGCTCTGGCTTTGCAGGGAAGCTCTGGGCTGCTGGGTGGGGCCAGGTGGCCGGCATCACCCAGGATGTTGGTAATAGCCACTCATATCCCCATCTATTCCTATCCTAACTGCTTAGCACCCATGCAGCAAAAGATGCCTACAGAGCATGTCAGAGCAATGCACAGCGGTGGAGGCAGGCAAGCAGAGGGCTGCAGAGCTGTATAAAATGACACCACTCCTGAGATTCTGCATCAAAACTCCTGGCTTCCCAAGAAAGGCCTTGAGACTCAAGAGATGGAATTTTCCAGTCGGGGGTAAGCAATGGGCAGGCAAGGGACCCAGCCCCTGCATACTGTTAACCATGCCATGCATCATGACAGTAAGGGATTCCACTTTGGGTGCAGGGGCTCTCCCAAAGCAACAGGCTGACTCACCAGCTTTTCCAGCTCAAGAATCTTTTTTTCCTGCTGGTGTATTTGCTGATTCTTCATCTCTAATACTTGCTTCAGACTCTTCATGTCTTCTTCCAAGTGCTGGTAAGGAGCCAGAGCAATCTGTAGGGGCAGAAAGCAGTGACATGCTTGACAAAAAGCCAGCTATTCACCAGTGTCGCAAGTCAGCTACATCAGGCCTTCCTTGGTAAGCTTCCCAATGGGCAGAGGGGCATGAAAGACAGACAGACAGACACACACACACACACACACACACGCACGCACGCACACACACAGAGAGACAGAGAGAATGCTCACAACTTCCTGCCCTGATAAAGATGCCCACTAATTTTCTACCAGAAATGCTAACTAAAAGTCCAGCTCCTTGGGAGATGGGAGAGTTACAGTTGTCATCCACTGCAAAGTCTGGAAGCTGGAATGGCTGGACATTGCCAGCCCGTCCCCAAAAGGGAACTCATGGGATAAAAAGTATAAATTCAGTGCTGGCTTTTAACATTCACCCAGACTCTTTGATTCAACAGACAAGGGGGGATTTAGAGGATTCCCCCCTGAGCCCAGATAGTGGGGGTGGGCAGGTGGTCCATGCACAGGAAATGAGTAAGGTAGTTTAAAAAGCAGAAGTAGGGCATTTTAGGAAAATGAATGTTGGAATAAGGTTTCCAGGTATGGAAACAACAAAAAATACAGGACGTTCAGTTAGGTTTGAATTTTAGATAAACTCCTTTTCTTTTTTTCTTTTCTTAGTACAAGTATTGCTTGGGACATTCTTTATACTAAAAAATTCATTTACCTGTAATTCAAATTGAACTGGGTGTCATGTTTACCTGGCAACCCTACACCAGAGGGAAGGAATTTTGCCAGCTTCAACCCATGCTGGGAGAGGACAGGATGGAGGGGCTGGCCCTGGCCAGGATGGAGAGCCCCCCGCCATGCTGATCCCTGGAGCCATGCGGCTCCCTGGGGTGAGGCTCAGCAGAGACGGCCAGGGGAGCCCTGAAGGTTCTGGAAGCCTGGAAGGCATGCCCACCTCCAGCTGCTCTTCAGTGTTTTTCCTCAAAGCCTCCTCGAAGCGTCTGGCTCGGTCCCGCAGAGACTGGCTCTGGAAGGTCAGCGTGTCTACCTGGTCCTGCGAGTAACAAGACGGGAAGCCCAGCTTGGCGCACTGCAGACATGGCAGCCCAGGAAGCACTGGGGGGCAGCAGCCCCACCCCAGGGGCTCAGCTCAGGGGCTACTCAGGGTTCCCCTTCTGGAGCTTCCGCATCAGATGACAGAGGGAGATTCACCCAAATGTCCCCCTTGTCCAGAACAGACCACAGAAACCCCGACACAGATGGACCTTCTTGCCACACACAGAGGGCAGCAACGCCGGGCTGTGGAGAGACTCAAGGCAGGGGCCCAGTCCAAGCTCCTCCTGAGATGAGAATGGTGTTCCCCCCGCCCCGAAAAGAAGAAGCTTGTAGGGGGCATCTAATAATTTATTATCTGACCTCATAGAGGTAGAAAATCAGCTAGTCCTGGGGCTATCTAGTCCTTGAGTTCAGAGGGACAATTAAAATCTATCTTAAAGAACTGTGCTCAAACCATCCTTGACTTCTCTCTCTGCCTGAGACCCCTTTTCTGCCACCAAACACACTAATTACTGGGTCAATGGTCAAGTCCCGCTGACTCCACCTGCCGAATGGCCCTGGAGCCCACGGCCTCTCCCAATTGCACTGCCCTACCTGCGGGCAGGCCACGCTGCAGGTTCTTTCCTGGCCCCGGCACCTGCGTTCTCTCTTCTTTCCTCACACTGGAGCTGGGGAGTGCGAACTGCAGCCATCACCCCCTTGTAAGCCCCACTGGCATCAAGATGAATGCACACTTTGATGCAGACGTGCCTCCAGATCAGCCTCTCTTGTCTCCCAGCTTGGTTTTTGCTCCCCTGACCCTTAGTATATCCCAGCCCCCTCTCATTCCTGGCTCACTTCCGGCCTCCGCTCGGCTGTTCCAGGCCTCAGGGCAGGGCTGCCTGTTCTCTGGTGTGAGCTGCCACGCGAGCTGAATCTGTTCTCCTGTGTAGACCTTCTGCCCGGAGCACCTGCTGGGGGGCGGCCCTCTGTGTGTGGGCTGGAAGAACGAAGGCCTGTCTGCGGAAGCACCCTGCCCCTTCCCTGGCTGCCAGGACAGGTGCGACTACACTGACCCATTCCCTTCACAGCCCAGCAACGACTGATCACAGCCGGCAAGCAAAGGATGCCAGGCAGGGAGCTTTGTCTTGATGCTCAAGCACAGCAAATACCCACAGTGAGCACTCCAGCGTTCTTCTGCCAGGGACACCATTTCTGTAACACCGAAACATAGTTCCTTCCGTGAACTCTTCTGGGAAACAGCTCCATCCCTCCAAATAGCAGGAGCTAGGTGTTGAAAATTATGCCAGTCTGCATGATAACGCTGTACTGCAGGAAGCGCTGGCTTGATGGCTTTCTGCAGCATGACAGAGGGTCTTGCTTTGCAAACTGCCCCTGGCAGGTTCCTTTCCTTCTTTGTTACCAGTTACTTTCATTTCACTTTCCAGAAACAGAAGCCCATGCAGTGCCATTAAATGCAAATGCTGGTGCAGAGAGGGTAATGTGGGCGTCAGTGGGAGTCTGTGCACACATGAGCTGGCAGGTATAAACCCAGCCCAGGGCAGCCACAGCTGGGCCCAGCACACAGCCACTGCACAGCTGCTGATACCTTCCAGATGTGACTATAAAAATGACTATCACATGTGGCTCCTACATCAAACCATGTCATGTCAGCACTGTCAGAGGAAGCATTTCTCTCAAACCTTGTCTCTTCCGTTAAAAAAACACAAACAGGAAAAATGCATCAGGCAAATACCACCTAGGATTGATCGAAAATATCAAATTGTGTTTTTTTCTGCCTTCTCCACCATTTCTCAAAACGGATCCACATACAGGCACACAATGGGGTGCAGCAATCAGACAGGATAGACTACTTTTCAACCTGCGCTGACTCTTCCAAGGTAAGAGGCACAAAGACCCAGCTGATGACCTGCCCAGCATGGGCCACGCTGGAGTTAACCAATGGCACATTAATGATGGCAATGATAATGATGCAAACGGAACAACGCTTGAAGCTATTTTAATAGCAGTAGATTCTAGTTATTAGCACTCACATGAGCCAATCGGGTGCTGGACACTTTAGGTACATAATTTCCATTAATCTCACACCTTGAGGAAGGTACTGCCATCATCTCCATTTTACAGATGACTAAATGAGCATTTACAGACTTTACATAACTGCCCGATTCCAAAGCTAGTGCAAGGAGGTACTTTCAAACCCAAAGCTCAAATCTCTGACCCCAAACCCATTTCTCTAGCTGCCAGGAGCCCAAGGAGGTTGGCGTGAGCAATTCCATCCGCCTTATACCAAATAATCTCCAACCCAAAGGCATCCTGGCCAGGCAGAGTTGCAATGAAAATATGTACAATTCATGACTGTTTAAGGTGAGTGGCAGAGTGAAGACTCGCCGACTAAACAAAACTCTGACTTCTTTTGGTTTTGGACTGGGTGGGGTTTTTGTTACATCACAGGGTGGCTGTCACTGTCCCAGTTTGTGTTCCTTAAGGACTGTGCATCTGACGGTTGGGGTCGGGGGTACATGGATTAGCCACATGAGGACAAGCACAGACGTACCGCAGGCCCGTCAACAGATGGATGGGTTGGCGGGGGGCTTGCCGGAGGCAGTTTCCCCTGCAAACTTTTTGAATAACACACTGTGGTGGTAACACTGGCTGTCTCTGTAATCCTGGATTCTTTGGTCATCCGGTCATGCTCTGCGCAATGACCTTTGCCAGGGGAAAGTGAGCCATCAAAGAAGGAATAGTCCTGCCTTTGTATTATAGTTACGGCAATCGCCTTCCAAAATTTCTAGATGTGCATGTGCTTAATGCTTAAAAAAGAATCTTGTTATATGTGGGACGTCTATAGCTGGGAATGGGAGCAGGGCTACCCGCCTCACCATGGTTCCCCAGCCAGCTCCCCTAGGGATGGAGGTGGGCAATGTCTTTTCATAGAAGTGGCTAGGCTGGTCTCTAGAAGCAGGAGGGAGATAGATGCCTGTGATCTGAGAGACCCTTCAGTCCCCCCTTAGAGGTCAGAAGGCATCCAGGCCGCACCACTGCCATCGGAGACCCGCATTCTCTGCAGATCGGTGGCAGAAGGCAAAGAAAATGCTTTTCGTCTCATCCCGCCTCCCGGTGACTAACCATACCCTCTGCCTAGAATGCTTTCTTCCCTATGTCCTCCCCTTCTTCAAACACAGCTGTTACTCCTCTGGCCACAGCAAGAAGGGATCAGACTCTTGGAGCTCCCGTGGCGCTGCCTGTCATTTGGTGTAAGGACATGGTACTTCTGCGGTGGTCTGTCACTGTGTGTGTCACAGCTCTGAGTGCACACCAGCTCCTCAAGGGCGGGGAGTATGTCTTATTTACCTCTATATTCCAACGGTTAGTACAGGATCCAGTATACAGCAGGTGCCAGATAAATGTCTGTGGACAGGAATAATGGTGCTGCCATTAGCTCACCGTCAGCGTTAAGGAGCCACTAACCTGTAAGGACAGCCGCAGCTTTTCAAAATTTTCTTCCAATTCCTTCTTTTCAAGCTCATGGGTAGACATCAATTCTGGAAAGCAAGCATCAAATTGCCCAATCAGTCTTTCTTTTGGAAAGGATCAAACAAGACTCTTGCCAGACTGAGACAAGGAACTGAGGTAAAGAAGGGATACGGCAGACCTAAGCGTAAAGAGGGCTCTGCGTGACTTTGAAATTGTGATGTTATTTAGAAGAGAGAGAGAAAAAGGAAGGAAACAGGAGAAAGAGAAAGAAAAGAGGGAAAGAAAAAAATAAGGGATGCAAAGAGAGCACAAAGGGCATGTGTGTATGCAGGTACACACACACACACACACACACACACACACACACACACACACACTCATGCTCATTTCTATGACCTGCTCTATAGCCATCCTGGTCAAACCATTCATGGTGTTCATTGCTTCTCCAAATTGTCCTCATGGTAAAACAACTGAGGAATGAATGTTAAATCTCCACTTTCTTCCCCTCCCAGTATCACCCCTTTTGACCACAGAGCTGCCACCTGGGGCTAAAGGGACAGCTTTCCAGGATGGCACATGTACGAGCAGCCCTGGGGCCAGCCTGGCTTCCTGGGAATAGGTGGGTGAGGGGCGCCGGCGCTGTGTCGGCAAGGACCCCTCGCTAGCCTCTGGGCCACGCTCTGGGAACCAGAGATCTCTCCCTAGGATTTGCTTCAGCGAAGATTCAATGTTAAGACACTCAGACAGGAGGAAGGACTAATTGAACTGGTGCCTCTTGGAGAGTTTGGAACAATTCTTTTCTGTGAAAAGTGTCATTCCAGGATAATTTGCAAGTAAGGCAGAGAGAGATGTCATGTAAGATTTATTAGGCAAATGGATTCTATTTTCCTCCAGAAGGGAAGAGCCTTATTAGCTGGGTGAAGCCCATCTCATTCTGGCTGTACAAGAAATTTGTTTTCATGCTAGAACTGTTTCATGCTAGGAAAGGTCTCATTGGTCAGCCTGGATCATACACTTAGGACAGGAGTGTACTGGAAACCGGCAGTTATCCTGACTGGCATGAGCTGCAATTAGGAAAAACTCTGTGGTTTCCATTGACCCAAATCTTTTAAGTAATGATGGTGAAGGTCTCTAAGAAATCTACATGTTATAACTGAAATTTATACCTGCAGAAAAGAAAAAGTCATGTGGCCTTCTGGGCTACCTGCCTTTGTCTAAATGACTAATTTTAATAGTCATTGGGAGAATCACCCTGACCATAATATATTGTTAAGCTATCACTACACTTACATCGTCTTGATGTTATATACAAAATGCAAAGGCCTTGGCCATGGTGTCTAAGCAGGATTTCATTGATCAGGAAAATTTACCAGTCTCTTTATATGAAAATGCAGAAATAAAAGGCAACACTGGCTCACTGCACCAGTTGCATTCATATTCTCTTTCCAGAGACCACTTGCAGTGGCTACAGTCCACAATGGGCTTCTGTGCATGTTCAGATGATCCCAATACCCCAAGAAAAGAGAAAATCCAGTGCCTATTCTGGAGATGGTATAAACTCACATGTACTCATAGTGTATTCCACTGTCTTAAGGTCACGACACTCTGTCCCATGCTGAGTACTGTGCTCTGTGAGAATGGCTCTCAAATTTCGCTGCGTATTAGAATTACCTGGGGAGCTTTAAAAAAATCCCGATGCCCAGACAGCCCCGAGACCAGCTACACCACCCTGTGGTGGGACCAGGCCTGGCATGGGTCTCCTGGTACAGCTCCCCAGGGATTCTCATACCCAGGGAAGGCTGAGAATAACTGCTCCACAGGAAAGGAATATTACTTAGATCCTGCATTTCTCTCTCTTCTTTCCACAGGAAGAAACACAAAGGACACGAGAAAAGGAAGAAAGAAAGGAGAAAAGGTCAGAGGAGCAGGAGGGGCAGGCCCCTTGCTTCTGCTGCCGGATGGGTTGGCTCACAGGGCGCCCCCTGCTGGCTGCAGACGCCACGGCTGGTAGTTACCTTGGACTTTGTGGTCGTGGTCATCCTGCAGGATTGCAAGGGCAACTGTGTGGTTACTTTCCATCTCTAGGAGAGCAGCCTCATGGCTGGCGGTGATGTCCTCTACCTGAAGGAGATCACAGCTATGGTTACACGGAGAGCTGGGGACGATGGCAGCAATGTCTTTGCTGCTTGGAGAACAGAGGTCAAGGGCCCCAAACATCAAGGACCAGTCGTTCTGCGGGGACAACAGCTGTTCCCAGCCTTGTGCCGAGGCAGGAGGGGCAGCCTTTGGGGTGATGTGGCAGCCCCTGGACTCAGGGGGGAGTTACAGGGAACTCACTGCCATGGCCTGGCTGCCCACGTGGGACCGGCAGCTCCCAGTGGGGTTGGTTGCCTATGCCACTCCTTGCCACCCTTTGCCATCCTGGGCCTGGTGGCTAGACCATCCCTCCCCACCCCCGTGCTCTCCCCTGCACCAATCACTTTGTGACATAAGGACAGGGAAGGAGGGGAAGAGGGTCCTCCCCACTAGATGGTCTGCCCTGTTTGCCAGTGGCAAGGGGCAGCTACAAAGCCCAAGGAGAATGCAGGGAACATTCACTAAGCTGCCTGCTCTCGGTCATTCCACTGAACCCTCACAGCAACACTTTGAAGTAGATATTTTTATGCCCATTGTATAGACGAGGAGACTGAGGCTTAGAGAGAAGTAAAATATGTTGCCCAACGGCTAGTAAATGGCAGAGCCAGCACTCGTTCAGGCCTGTCTGACTCCAAAGGTGAATCTCTCAGGCACATCACGTGTTACCAGCAGGCAGATCTGTGTGTGCTCACTGCCCTCTGCTTCCAGACCATAGCTCACCCTCCAGATTACTACTAGGACCTCCTGCCCGGGGAAGGCGGGAGCTGCTCAAGTGCAAGGCTGCTGTTTCCCTGGCTGTAGGTACATTTCCTGGAGTTTAATCACAAGAAGCGACACTGTCCAGGATTGTTATTTTCACTTTTCCTGACCTCTGTCCCTGGCCCCACACCTACCATGTCTCCTGTTTTTGTTACTGTGGTGGTGGTGGTGTGCTTTAACTTCAAATGCATGATGAAAAGGAGAAAATGCATAAAATAATCTGCTCCCAATAGTAGCAAAGGACAACAGTGTTTTTCCAAACTCTTTGTCAGTGACCCATTTGTAAAAACTACCATTGTGCTATAATCCAGCACATACACACATAAAACCAAAGTTTTACAAAACAACACTTTCTCTTCCTACTTACATTAATCTGGCTTTACATTTTCTGCTCTATTTGACTTTGCTTTTTTTCAAAATGCTAGTCACAAGCCACTAAGTCTATTTCATGACCTACTGATGTGTCAAAACCTGCCACAAAACCTGGCATTTGAAAAGCACTGAACCAGCAAATGGGGCCAGGTTCTGAAGCTCTTTGGTGGACCAGCTAAGAACATCTTGCTTCCAGCCAATATATTCAATATTCAGCCACCTCCAAAGTCCCTCATTTCTGTGGGGATAATTCATAGAGGCAGACCTTTGATCTGAAAGGAGGAAGGCTCTCCACATAAAAGGAAGTGGACACATGGGAGTATTTTGATTTAAATGGGGATAGGTTCCCGTTTTGGGTGCTGTAATCACATGGAAAAATGTGTCTGACTTCTCTCCTGTGCACTAAAACAGAGATATCAATGGCCAGGCCAACAGTGAGCTCCACAGTGCTGGGAAGCTCCATTACAATGTAAAAATGAACATGGTATATAATGATTCACTTTTATTTGTGGGCTAATTTTGATGGAACAATATTTTTCTGGACGGCTCAGAGCTATGAATTCATTTAGCAGAAAGGCTGATTGCCACAGTATTTAATCGTCCAGTTCTTATTTATATGAGATTTTTATGGAATCTTTGTCCCAAGTCTTTCAGTCTCTAGGAAAAACAAATCACTAGCTAAAAAAAAAAAAAAAAACTAAAGGAAATTTCTTTCTGCTTCATTACTGGTGTCAGTTAAGCCTGCAGCACACGGTCCGTGGGAGCAAGCACCCACACATTACTTGAATGTGTTACCCAGTTCAGCATGAAGAAAAACCTTTTCATCATTCCTTGGTATGATTCTAATTTATTGGGCTCTTACACAAATTGCCATGAGTGGTTTCAGAAAGACGAATGGGCGGACTGGGTTCCAGAAGAATCTCATATATCCTGGAGATAGATATGCCCCGTCGGACAAATACTACACTATGTCTGTGGCTAAATATATGCCCCCTCTGGTCTGTTGGAAGGCAGGTCTTTGAATTAGTGGTGATGAAGTACCACACCCAGTGTGTCGGGGATGATGTAAGGGCATGCGCCTGTCTGTTACGGCCTCTCAGAGGTGCTTTTATGCATGAAATACGGATGCCCTGACTCTAAAGGTCTTTGTGCAATGAGGGGACTGCTCATGACATTTTGAGGGAAACCAGGAAGAGCTGATGAGCCAAAATTTGGGGACAGTAATCCTTACTCATCAGTAACTTCAGTTTCTATACGTCTTTATGGCTTTTAAAGAATATGAGGAAGGGACGGTCCACCTTTGGCCATCCTCTTTCTCATCATAGCCTTTGATAATCCCTGGGACGTCTTCCATGGCACTGGGCTCACACTTTGAAAGAACCCTCAGCCTCAGAAGACCTTGAGACCTTCTGAGGGCATCTGAGGAGATTCAGACAAGTTGAACCTAGGGAAACCCAAGATCATTTTAAGCACGGCAGATCCCCAGATCAGAGGCAAAAGGCTCTAACCCATTACTAGGCTGTGGCAAGCTTGCGCCGGACGAGCCATTCGTCCTTTGCTTTTAGAGCCACTGCTGGACCACCTGCCACCCTCCTCCAGGGAGCCGAGTGCTGGGCTGGGCTAGGGCAGAGACCGTCAGTGTTGCCATCGAGGAGTCCTTGTTGCATGGAGAGGCAGCTGCTGCCCGCCACAGGCTGCCACCCACAGCTGTCTGCTCTTCAACCGGGCTGAGTCACAGCGTGGCAGAGGGCGGGGAAGCCCCTCTCAGAGGCACAAGAAGAGAGCTGCGGGGCTGGGTTCATTTATCCATTTGCAAAATGCAATTACCCGGGGCTCTGGCGATTCACTCAGAGAAGACTTACATTTAGACTGAAGAAGCATGTGCTTTATATTGTCTCTTTACTCATTAAACCCAAACTAGATTAAACTCCCATTTACCTCCATCCCAGACTCGTGTTCATATCTGGTGAGACAGACGTAAACTGCCCGCGTTTACTCTCTCCAGGGTTACTGGACTGTCCTTTCCAGATAACAAGGAACCTCTGCTTTCCTTCTGCCCCTGCACGATCCCCTGGGTGGTGACCCAGGCAGGCAGCTGGCCATGCCACAGTTCCCAGTCTGGATTCATCCCATTCCCGGGATGCCCCCTCTGCAGCCCACCGTGTGGCACTTGTTCATGGAGGCTGCGAACTTCCCTGCACCGCCTCCAGCCAGCATTTGGAGGCTCCGCACTGTGCTGGGGTGGGACTGTGTCCTGGAAGACAGAGGCCCCTCGGGCCTTCATGCTGTTGGATTAGAGAGAGTACGGTTTCTTCTGAAGGCGGGCATGTGCCTGCTGTGTAGGGGACTTGACATAATGCTGGATAAGGGGCAAAGTGTATGTTCTGATTAAGCATGGGGGTGCAGAGCCTGCCAGTCAGTCTAAAAGGACAACTTTTTTTTACAAAAGGTGAGATAAGAGACAAAGCCAATGTAAACTTCCAAGGAGGATCTCTACTGCTCCCCAAGGAGAAGGAACCTTTGCACAGACTTCATGGAGCGGAATCCACAGTACATTTGGGAGCTAGTGGCCCCTGAAGTGAAGAGACTGCCGGCTGGTCTTGGGGGAATGGGGTCCAAGGTCATAAGTCCAGCCTTTGACCACCAAGCTCTGGGGCTGAGCATCTCTGGGGAACACCCAAAGGAATCCAGAACATCGGACTGGAAACTGGGCCGACAAGGAACTATGTAGGGGGCAAAAAGGGAAAAGCACGTGAGTTTATCGTGAAAATATCATTTTGCACACCTAAAGGGAGGGGCACTCCGGCAATCTGGCTCCTATTAATATGTAGCTAGCTATGGAATGAGTGCTGATTTTGATGAAATGCCTCTTTGTCACACTTTTCAAAGTCATACCATATCTTTAAAGTCACTTAAGAAAGTGCAGCGACAAGGCCATGCCCCCCTGCTTGTGCCCCTCACTGGGGTCGGCAGAACTAAAGAACAAGGCTTGGCATCGTCTCCCACGACAGCGGCAGTCCTGGGCCTGGGGCACCTCTACAAGCGCCCTGATGCTGGGCTCCACCTGGTGGTTCTGATTCTATCAATGTGCGGTGAGGACAGGGAAGGCCATTTTGCCAGAAGCTCCCCCAGGTGATTCCAGTGTGTAGCCAGAGAGAGAGACAGTCCGCCCCTCTAGCTCCGTGGGTGGCGGGAGTTATCATGGGGGATCCTGCAGGGGGTGCAGGGGCGGGCCGCCTGAGCACGTGGGTTCCCAGTTAGTAAGGCCTCAGAAAACCCTGGGTCAAAACGGGGGGCAGCCTCCCCACTGCCAGCCGTGGGGCACTGGAGCATGAGAGGCCAGATCCGTCCACTCGATCTTTAAGGCCCCAGAAGGACAGAGATGTCCCCGTCCTCGGAGCCAGCACTACCAAATGCAACCGTCTCTGATGAGGAAGAGCCAAGCATGGCGAGTCCAGCACAGGTAACCGAAACCAGGGACCATCCACATCGCCACTGCAGCCACACACTTGAATCTCTCCTGCGCGAGGCGAGTGAGCATTTATTCTATCTGGAAATCAGAATACTGGACTTATGTGTGTTTTCCTCTTGCACCTCGCTGCCTGCATGCTCTCTGCTGCAGGAGCTGACGGTCAGGATGACAGCCAACAGTCAGCACCGGGAGGAGAATCGGGGGCCTGAATAATTTATAGATTTAGATCATTCATCTCCCCCCAAACCAATGGGTTTCTATAGGCAAGGTTTACTCAAATATAAAGCCTTCAGAAGCTATTTCCGCCATAAAGCTTTCCCTTAACTTCACAGCTGGAAGTCACCCCTGAGCTCCTAAATGCGTCACCTCTATTTCTCACCCACTGCCATAGTTTCTTGGGCACTGGCCCCAGAACTTTCCCTGGCCTAACCTGAGGCTCTAAGCCGGCAAGTCGGCACTTCACACATCTTGGTATCTCTGGCAGTGGCCCCGTCATGATGCCCTGCACACAGTGGGCATCCTTGCAAACTTCTTTGCACAGCAAATGAGTGAATCGCTTTGGCTACTATAAAGGACCAAGAAGAACAGGACTCAGAGCCCTCAGCAGACAGAGCACTTTTGAAATATCCACAGGCAGCTGTGTAACTCATTCTCAGGTGGAGAAGGGAGGGCTTTCTTTGCGTGCAGTCCCTCCCAGTACGAAATCTCTAAAAGGCTGCTATGTCCCAGCTTCAGGGTGAAGTGGGGGCATGTCCCCCCACATGTGCTCCTGCACCAGCAAAGCCCAGTGACACGTCCTGCCCTGGGCCACACTCCCCCAGAGACAGGGCTCTGCGCAGCCGTGGTTTCCATACACAGCACCCCGACGTCAGTCTTTGCTCAGAGGCCTCCCCCAAAAGCACATTTCTGCTGCCTGACAACCACCTCCGGTCCTCCCTCTGCACCTCTCAGCATCGTCTCCACCAGCCAACTCAGAGCTTCAGACCAGAAGCTTTTTAGTGAACGTGGGGGTAAATCTGTTTTCTGTGTCAAATCGGGAATGAAGAGCCGGCGGACACAGAGGCACAGACAAACTGCCAACTGCACCAGGTTTGAGATGGATCGGGGGGTCATCAACTAGGCAAGGCCACAGACAGCAGCAGGTGTCAGTGTCTACTTACCAGAGTTAGCTCAGCGGGCTTAGGAGGCCATGCTGGAGGCGGTGTCTAATCTGAGCAGAAGCAGGTAACTTCAGCTGTAACCTAGTCTGTTTCCTGGCCTCTGTGTTTAAACAGCCCCAGGCAGGCCATTGTGTCCGGTTTCCGGGGACTTCTAGGAAAGGAGACTGACCAGCCTAAGCTGCTGGATAAAGGGCTGTCCGATAGGAGATTTTCAATTACAACAACAGTCCTTATTACTCTGAAGTTTCTCCTGTGCTCCCGGCAATTCAGGAGCCTCTGGGCACTGTCCCCATCCAGGAACCTGTTTGGAAGCACTCGGCCAAGGGCAGCCCAAAGGCGCATGCTAATGAAGGGCCACTTGGCACTAGCCCAGGGTTTAAGGAGCTCTCTTCACAGATGCCAGCGGACCCTGGGGATGGCAGAGGCAGACTACGTGAAGCAATACACCAGTGAGAAGGTGGGTATTAACGCATCGGCACCTTGGGGACTTGGAAGAGAGAAGAAAGTGGAACCAGCCTAACCTCACTGCTGGAAGTCCCGGGGAAGCCCTCTCGGCGCCAGCCTTGCCCGCCTGTCTCACGCCCCTGCTGATGGTGGTAGCAGACGAGGCAGCCGGCCAAGCGCACGGGCACGTCCAGCTCCCACCCGCTCCCACGGGCTCCCTGAGGATCACTCTAGTCATTCCAGGATGAACCACCCTCTCCAGCACGACTGCTGGACTCCAGTTAACTGGTGGAATCCATTCTTTCATTCAGCAAACAGACTGAGAGCCTGGTCTGTGCAGGTACCATCAGGCACCAAACAGCCGCAGGAAACCTGGCTGGCAGCTCTCATTTAAAGCTCGAGAGCAAAGATCCTGGGGCCAGACTGGGTTCAACCGTGGCTTTTCATGACCAGCTCTGTGAATCCAGCAGGCTATTTAACCTCCGCGTCTCGTTGTTCCCACCTGTAAAATGGTGATAACAATGGCACCTACCTCGTAGGGTTATTGTGGGAATTCAATGACTCAGTCTAGTTCGTGAAGAGCTAGGAGTGGCGCCTGATGCATGCCATGTGCTAGATAAGTGTGTGCTTATTATCATCACTGCCCTCATGGAATAAGCAGGTGACGAACAGGGGCATGGGTAAGGTTTAGGCTATATTAGTGACAAGAAACTGAAGCAGAGAGGATGCCTGGAAGAGTGTGGATATGGTGGCGAGGAGCTCCAACTTCAGATAAGGAAAGGCCTCTCCAAGAAAGTGACTTTGGAGAGAAGTCTGGAAGGGAGGGACAGAGGCAGCCACGGAGTGTTTAGAGGGAGAGCATTACAGGCAGAGGATGCAGCTGATGCAAATGCCACCAGGTGGGGACTCAGAGAGGGAGCCCAGAGGGCTGGAGTGGGGGCAGGGAGGGGAGAGCAGGGAGAAACGAGGGCAGAGGGCCGGCTGTGCAGGAGCTCACCTACCACGCAGGGCTTCCGGTCAAAGCGGCGCTGGCTCCCCGCCACCCTCCGCCTGCACCTCCCAGCAACAGAGACAGAGCCCAGAGCCGCGGACTGACCTGCTCCTGGTGCTGACACCTGAGCCGCAGCAGCTGGGTGCTGTGCTCGCCCTGGAGACGCGCCATCTCTGCCTCGAACTGCAGCTGCAACCGCCCCTCCAGGTCCCGCAGCTCCGCCTGCTGCTGCCAGGCCAGCTTCCTCACCTCGTCCTCAAAGCGCCTCTCCAGCTCTTCCTTCTCCTTTTGTAGTTTCTCACACTTGGCTGTATTGAGGGCTGGGGAGGGGGCCAGAGAACAGCATCTTTTAAAAAGGAAGTTCCCAAAGGATCGATGGTGAGGGTCTTCCGCACCCCCAGGCAGATCACCAAGGTTAATGGAGTAAGATTCTCTTACTTTTGGACAGCTTCACGGTTCGTGATGTGCTTTCCTTTCTACTGGCATTGGATCCTCATAACAGACCCTGATGCTGAGGTCTAGGCTCCAGGGACCTGTCCAAGGTCACTGGTAAAGTGCAGAAAACTGTGAAGGCAGATGTGGGCTTTCTGACCGTGGGCTGCTGCAGCAGGGTTGCTCTGAGGGTCCATGGACCACAGGCACCAAAAATATTGGGCGTTTGTTAAAAATGCACATTCCTAGGTGCACCCTGGGTGGATCAGAGCCCCTGGGGCAGGAGCCCAGAATGTGAAATTTTCACAAGGTCCACAGTGACTCTTCCGCTCTGACACCGAGGTCTGAGACCTGGGCACGCCTTGACATTGACGGGACGGCAGCGGGCAGGGCACCAGTCCTGAAGGCCAAAATGCCAAACAGGACAATCTCAGCGAAAATGCAGGGATTTCCTTTGAGGTGACCAAGGCTTCACCAACACTATTCCCCACCAGAAAGATGGTTAACCACTCAGTACCCCTTTGCCCAGGCCTGCCACCCTGTCACAGTCCTGGTTTGGTAAGCGTGCTGCCAGAAGCGGATGCGGCAATGACAGACATCTATTGCTCTGGCAGCTGCCCCACCTTAGGGTCTCTGTCTCCCATGGGCTGCAGGCAAGAGTAATGGCTTTCATTTTAAAGACTGCTTCCTCAACAGCAAACTGCATGCAAGGAAAACCCCCTGACAATCTACTCTGTTTAGGTCAGATGCAGCTGATTATACACAGTACATGCACACCAAGGTCAAGGTGCACATACACATCATTTACATTCCACAAAGCCTAGGGGATAACGTGCTCTCCACTCCGTGTGACAAGCTGGAGCCACTGTCATTTACTTTAAAATGAAGCAGGTACATGCGCTGGTTAACTGTATTCTATGCCCTAGGAGTAGTTGGATATTATGTTCAGAATTATATATCCAACGTAGTTAGATACCATTTGAAACATCCTGATCAAGAGTCCCACCCAAAGAGGCAGCTAATTCAAGGGCTTTACAATATTCAGCTCTAAAAGAGTTTGTTAATTAACATGAGGGATTGTTAGAAAACATTTTTTCCCTGGTGAAACACGTGGCGGCTTGGCTGGTAGCATACAGGCACCTGCTGTGTGCACAGCATGCAGGAATCTGGCCAGCCTGGCAGCGCTACGCTGTCCCCAGTGGCCTTCCTGCTCTAGGGCTTCCGCTGGCCCAGTGGTCCACGCCTCCCCATTCGATGCAGCATTCTGATGCACCATCTGGCAAAGGTGATCTGTGAATGTAACCGAGGTGTGCTGGTCGGGGCACAGGGGTGGGTGGCGTCCTCCCCAGGTGTAGGCAGTAAGAGGAGCCGCAGTCGCTAGAGAATTTCAAAGCGATATCCAAACTGACTTTGAAGGCCCTCTGCTTTTCATTGCCACTTTGGGCCAGCAGTTCGAAAGAAGGTTGGTAAAAAAACAAAAAATCCTCAAGAAAAATCTTTTATTGCTCTAAGTTCTAAACAATTGCTACAATTACTGGTGACATGTTTAAAACTAATTTTTGTATTTTAAAAAAACTGCAGGAAAAATAGTCAGATGTATAAGGCAAGGATGTTATTGTCCAAATGACTTTTTCCCCCACTGAACCATTTGAGAATAAGGTTCTGACCTGTTGTGCTATCCGCCCTGAATTCCTTAGTGTTCCCTATCAGCAAGGATATTCTCCTACATAACCACAAGATAATCATCAAAACCTGAGCCCCTGACGACTGCCAGGCCCATGAAGCATCCTGCCACAGACATAAATTAAATAGCGAGGAACAAGGGTTGTGTCGTTTCTGCCTACCGGATACCTTAACTTCTCAAACCCAGTCTTCTCATCAATTATGGTGGTGCATTTAAAATGTTTTGACTTATAAAACATGCAAACAAATGGTAGGATTTTCTTAAATATGTATTGATGCCAGTGTGCCTTGGACAGTGAGGTCCCGTAACAAGCACACAACCTCCGGGGCAAGAGGGATAGAAAATAGATAGGTTTTTATAGCACATAGAATCGCACAGTCTTATTATTTCTGTGTCGTGCCTTTTTTTTTTGTTTGTTTAACAATGTATTACAGATATCAGGCCGTGATATTCATTCTAGGTCTGTCCCTGAACTGCACTGCTGCCTAAATAAGTCATGAGCTATGCAGGCCTCAGTTTTGTGGTCTATAAAGTAGTCACGTTTTTCACATATGGCCCCAACCCCCAAATTCCCAACTGCTATTACATACAAGAGAAGAGATACTGATATTCTTCAGATGACCCCATGCTGTAAGCCCCAGGCCTGCAGGGAGATTGAATAAAAGCTGTTCTGGCACCAAGGGGTACATCCCAATAATGGGACTAAAGAGCTAAACAGACAAAGATGAATGCAGTCTAATTAAATAGCATTGTGCAGTCTTCCCTTATTATTTCTGCCCTTATTTCTGTTCATGTGAAAGCATTTGGTACTTTATAGTGAGAGGCAAACACCACAATAATAAATCCCTAGTATCTAAGAAGCTGAGAAAATAATTTCTATTTAATAGGACTGTGATTGGCCACGAGAATATAACACTTCTAGTTCATAAAGAGCTTGAAAAGCAAATTGGGATTAGGATCTGCTGCAGTCTTAAATAATTGGACAGATACATGTATGTGTGACTATAGGCCTATACTGTGTGTCTATATATACGTGACATCAAAAAAACCTAAAGTCTTATTAAAGCTGCATTTAGAACATCCTCAGACACATGTAATATTGCTGTGCAACCATTTATAAAACAAGCTTAATGTCCGCCACAGTTTATAAATCAACGGAGAGGGAAAAAACTCGATTTTCTTTAAACAACGGCCCCAAATATCTCTGGAATAATTACAACTTTTATTGTTTCCCAAAGAGGTGGCAAAATAGTCACAACACTAGACATACTCCGAAGAGAAGTGTATCTGGCTTTACAGCTCATGATAAAAGCATATGGGATGATATTATATGGCCTCCTATGTTCTAGGGAGTGTAGATATTATCATTGCAAAATAGATCATCTAAACATGATGAAATGATATTGTATATAAATAAATGGTTCTGTGATAGTAGTTCCTGCTACAGGCTGAATTGTGTCTTTTAAATGCACATTTAAATGCAAATCCCCAGTATCTCAGAATGTGACTGTTTAGAGGTATTTTTTTTTTCTTACAGAGGTAATTAAATTAAAATGAGGTCATTAGGGTCTGTCTTAATCTGAGACAACTGGTGTTTTTATAGGACACAGACACCCATAAAAGGAAGGCCATGTAAGGGAACAGGGAGAAGGTGGCATCTAGAAGCCAAAGGGAGAGGCCGCAGAAGAAACCCACTAATAAATGTCTGTTGTTTAAGCACCCAGCCTGCTTCTCTGCTATGACAGTCCTAGTGAACTAGTATAGCCCCTATTGTTACATATTGATGAAAAGAGAGTCCATAGTTAGATGAAAGATTTAAGTTGTTTCTTTGGGAAGTGGGGAAAGTTGAAAAGACAAAACCTTCAAGGAAAAAAATGTATTTAAAATTACCCACGATCTCCCTACACAGAGAAAATGAAATTTTCAATTGCATAATCCTTTCATAGCTGCCGCAGTGGTGTGAATTCTTAACATTATCTTAGGAATTCTCCATGTTTTCCTCCTTAACATTTTTATGGCTGCCTTATATTGTCATGTTGATGTCCCATAGTGTTTATGCCCTTATGGTCAGACATTAGGTGCGTGCCATCTATATTGTTTTGCTTTTTCACTAGGATACAGTCCTAGAAGTGGAGTTATACCAAGTTAAAGATTATGAACATCTTTATGCTGTGAAATTGTTTCTTTTTGTTTTGGATGGCAGGGATCATGTAACAAATCAGTGCCCACCAGGGGGAGCTGTAACGCCTGAAAACTGCCCTCTGGTGGCGAATGCCTTTGTCCAAACTGTCAGATTACAGCGACATCCAGGGGGCAAAGAGAGTCAGCCTCTCTGAGCGTGCTGCCTGGGAGCCTGGCCACCCTGCCCTCTATAGCCCGATTCTCTTCCTCTTTAAGACTTTTTTAAATGAAAATGTCAAGAAGAGAGAAAAGGAGGGGCTGAAAATGGAGTTTGAAAGGTCCAGGTACTAAGAGCAGAAATGTGAGTGAAGGAGCCCAGGAGACAGTCCTGGGTCTGCTGTCGAGTGTCGGCGCCGCATATCCGGGGCCCAGTGACTAAATGGCAGTTTTCGCTGCAAAAATAACAGCTCCCAGGTATAGATAGCCTCTGGGTGCCAAGAGCCTGGCACACTGTAGACCCACTGGGAAGTGTCCAGCACGCAGCCTTATCTCCATTTTCAAGGAGCAGGCAGGGCTGAGAGGGATAACGGGTCCCAGGCCATTGTGTGAGTGGGCCAGGCCCTACGGAGCAGCAGCTGGCAGCCAGACCACGGCCTCTCCCCTTTGCTCTGCCTCCCTAGGGGGAGCTGTCACAGCACACCAGGCCTGGAACAGCTCAGGGGTAAGGCCAGGTTTAGCACGTCACCCTCAGGAACTCACTGTTTTGAACTGCAGTACATCTCCCTACCTGTCTGTCTCCCTCCCCAGTGGCAAGGAAGAGGGTTCATGTCCATTTCTGCATTTGCGGTCAGATACATGGGCCAACAGTCAGTAGACAGTGAGTGAATTTATCAGGTGCCTGCTGGTGCTGCACCCAGACCTAGGTGCAGCAGTCACGAGGGGCAAATAAACAGATGAGCAAAATTTTTAAATAGCACAATTTTAGAATGCAAACATGTGAGATAACTTCAGTGAAGAAAGCAAAATAGGGCAATGCTAGGGAGGGACTGCAGAAAGGGACAGGTGAGATTTAGCTAGGTGAAC